TGTTGATATTTTACTCTTCTACTTCACCTTGATGACATTAGTTACATCTGAAAATAGAATTATGACTGCATGTAATTTACCTGTTCAGTCTAAATCAGTGGAAAAGTACTTTTGTAAACTATAGGGAAGAATGGATCCCAAATTAAGAGTTCCTGAAACTACTGTCATGGAGTAAAGGCATAGAGGTTAAATAATTGTGTCTTGCCAATCTAGTGGCTAACAGTGTGTCCAAAACAGTTGCTAGAATCACATGAATTGCCAAATACAGAAATAGCATTGATTAATAACATCAGTTATAACAGACTGGATTCACTATTGTTAATTTATATATTTGACAGGTTAAATACAGACTGTGACAATTGGTTTGTTGTCACTTCCTTTTCTTTAATAGAAATAATATTTTATCTCTCCTTCATTACCGCTGACAACTGTTTTCCCATGCATTGCACAAATCATAAGCTGTTAGTTGCTTAGAAACTAGGGTACATTAATTACAGGTTCATGTTCTGTCACAACTGGTTTGCTACAGACTGTGACAATTGGTTTGTTGTCACTTCCTTTTCTTTAATAGAAATAATATTTTATCTCTCCTTCATTATCGCGGCATAAGTTACCTAGAGCGATACGCTGACATAGGAGGAAATGAACACCACCATTTTACAGAACACAAAAAAAATATAAATAATAACAACATAGGTAGAGCTACAGCAGTCTCATATATACTACCAAATGACAAAATTATTTACTGCATATCACCACTCAGAGACGAAGTTCACAACACCATCCTACAGCAAGAGTTCTTAAAGACCGTTTCCAATAAGTTGGCATGAATGAAAGGGGGTACAGGGGAGCTTGCAGTGTAAAACTACCATGATTATGGCACATTTTTAGAATTCATCAAGCTTTCCACTATTTCAAGGTATCAAACTCACATGAAAAGGAATTACAGAATCTAACTGCAGGTGTTGTCAATCCTTATTAGAATTCAGAATGTTCTCCAATAAAGTTTAAACATTTCTGTCTGCTACTTCATTTTGCTAATGCAGTTTAAAATTTTAAGTTACATGTTTTGAATATATCCTTAATTCAAACCTATTTCTTGAAAGCTCTAATAACGAAAAGTTTTTTTTTCGAAAATATTTCAACACCGAAATCGGTAAAATTTGATTCCACGTATATACCATATATTTCACTTTATTTCCATCACACTTCAGCATATAGACACATACCTCGCTGGCTAATGGATCTCCCCCAAAAGATAAGTTGCCGTAATATGGTAATTAGATCTAGAAATATAAGTATAACATAATTTTCCAAGGCATGAAAATCGAACTGAGAATTGAATGTTTACAAACAGGCCGCTGATCATTTAGAGGATTACGGACTTAATAATATTTAGAATTGTTTTAAGTAATTATAACAAAACTTTATTATCATACAGGTTATGATAATGAAATACAAATATTGAAATATTTATATCCCCATGAACAATGTAAATTTTCTTACTTTCCGATAGTTGAAATTTTGAGATTTGGGTATTTGTAAGTACAGTCGATATTCACACATATACGTACAGCCAAATCATAGCATATATATAAATATATATATATATATATATATATATATATATATATATAGTACACATTGTTATTACTATCATTCTTTTATCATTGTTATTATCATCATCATTAGTATCACAATCATTATCATTATCATCATTATTGTCATCTTTATATCATCATATTATCATTATCATAATAATGGTAATGATAATAATGACAATAGCAACAATGAAAACAAAAGACAACAACAACGATACTACTATTACTGCTACAACAACAACTACTACTACAATTGCTACTACTACAACTACTATTACTACTATCATTACTACTGCTACAACTACTAATACTGCAATAACTACTACAACTACTACTACAACTATTACTACAACTACTACTATTACTATTACTACTACTACAATTACTACTAATAATACTACAAATACAACAACTAACACTACTGCAAAACAACTACTACTACAATTACTACTATTACTACTATCATTATTACTATACTACTACTATTACTACTATTATTATTACTATTACTACTAATAATACACTATAGCAACAGCAACTACTATTACACAACTACTGCTACTACTTCTGCTACTACTTCTGCTACTACTACAACAACAACAACAACAATTTACTACTAACTACTACACTACAACTACTACTAACTACTACTACTACTACTGACTACAAACTTGCTACTACTACTACTTCTACTTATTACTACTTTTACTACTACAACTACTACTACTTCTACTACTACATTACTAATTATCACACTACAACAACAACACTACACTACTACACTACTATCATATATAATAATCATTATTAGTTTAATATTAGCAACAAGGAAATACTCTCCCCAGCGGTTGGGCTCGTATCCCCTGAACCCTCGATGTCCCGTTGTGTTTCAAGGACAAATAACTTTAACTCATTCGCTTTTTTTTCTTTGTTTATTTGTTGTGATTCTTGTTTGAGAGGGAGAGAGAGAGAGAGAGAGAGAGAAGAGAGAGAGAGAGAGAGAGAGAGAGAGAGAGAGAGAGAGAGAGAGAGAGAGAGAGAGAGAGAGAGAGAGAGAGAGAGAGAGAGAGAGAGAGAGAGAGAGAGAGAGAGAGAGAGAGAGAGAGAGAGAGAGAGAGAGAGAGAGAGAGAGAGAGAGAGAGAAGACAGAGAAAGAGAGAGAGAGAGAGAGAGAGAGAGAGAGAGAGAGAGAGAGAGAGAGAGAGAGAGAGAGAGAGAGAGAGAGAGAGAGAGAGAGAGAGAGAGACAGAGACAGACAGACAACAGACAGACAGACAGAGAAGAAGAGAAGAGAGAGACAGACAGAGAAAGAGAGAGAAAGAGAGAGAGAGAGAGAGAGAGAGAGAGAGAGAGAGAGAGAGAGAGAGAGAGAGAGAGAGAGAGAGAGAGAGAGAGAGAGAGAGAGAGAGAGAGAGAGAAAGATTTGATTTGTTAAAAGTATTTGCATAGTAAGTCTGGAGACGTATCATATTTACACGATCAAGAAAAAAAAAAAGAAGGAAAATACAGAGACAGAGAATCAGACAAACAGACAAATAAAGAAAATAAAGAAGAAGACAATAAAGACAAAACACAAAGAAAGAGAGAGGGTTGGGGCACAGAAAATAGATAATTAATGAAATGAAAAGGCGCAAGATATATATATATATATATATATATATATATATATATATATATATATATATATATATATATATATATATATATATATATAGAGAGAGAGAGAGAGAGAGAGAGAGAGAGAGAGAGAGAGAGAGACAGACAGACAGACAGACAGACAGACAGACAGACAACAGACATGAGAGACAGACAAGTAGGTAAACAGACAAACAAACAAACAAACAAAAGCAAGAAGACCCAAATAAAGACCACGAGACACAAAGAACAAGAAAGAAAAAAGAAATAAGAAAGAAAGAAAGAAAAAAAAACAGGAAAAGAAAGCATACAAACAACGACATTCTCAAGCAGTCGATGGCAACACACGCCAAACATAAATAATAAATAATATGCAACACATTCAACCCAATAGTGCAACCAGACATTTTCTTTTTCTCTCTTTTTTTTCTTTTTTTCTTTTTTTTTCATACTTCTCGGTGTTTTAGGAAAATGCAAGTCATCTTTCTGGACTACGTACTATAGAAATGCCTTAAATTCTTCTCGTAATATTTTATATCTTTAAATCAATAGTTATGATGATGATAATGATGATGATGGTAATACTAATAATGAAATAAATGATGATAATGATAATGGATAATAATGATAATGATAATAATAATAATAATAATAATAATAATAATAATAATAATAATAATAATAATAATAATAATGATTAATTAATAACAACAATAATAATAATAATAATAATAATAATAATGATGATAATGATGACAATAATATTCATTATTTCTATTATACTTATCATTATTTTCTTAACTATGATGATATTAATAATAATGATAATGATAATGATAAATGATGAATAAATTATAATGGATAGTAAATAATGATAAAATGATAATAACAATAATATAAAATGATAAAAAACAATGATGATAATATATAATGATAATAGTGACAATATTAATGATAATAATGATAATAATAAATAATATATTAGTAATAGCGATAATGATAATAATGATAATGATGACAATGATAATAATGATGGCAATGATAACAAAAGTAGTAATGATAATAACAGCAATAATGATGATAATGATAATAACAAGAATAGTGAAAATAACAATAATGATGATAACAAAAATAACAACAACAATAATAATGAGGATGATGATTATATTCATATGATAATAATAATGATAATATTGATAATGACTATAATGAAAATAATAATAACGATTATAATAATAATAACATTGATGATAACAATAAATACTAATCATAATCATCATCATCATAATAATGATGATGATAATAATAATAACAATAAGGATAATATGATAATGACAAGAATAGTAATAATAATAATAATGATAACAGCAAAAATAACAATAACAATAATAATGATGATGATAATTATATTCATATTACTATTAATGATAACAATAATAATAATAATGATGGGAATATAATGATAATAACGATATAAAATAACAACAATAATAATAATAACAACAACAACAACAATGATAATAATAATAATATTAATAATAATAATAATAATAATAATAATAATAATAATAATAATAATAATAATAATAATAATAATAACAATAATAATGATAACGATAATAATAATAACAATAATAATGATAGTGATAATCATAATAGTAATGATAATGATAATAATAATGATAATGATGATAATGATAACAATGATAATAATGTTAATAATAATAATAATAATAATAATAATAATAATAATAATAATAATAA